CAAGCGTGATACGGCGAGGTAGAAAGTTTGGTGGACATCTGAGATAAAGGAAGATGCTTCAACAACGTGGCCGCAGCAAGCACACTGCAGAACAGGCTTGATTGGCGGGACATGAAAGAGGGCCTTGGCCGGCAGTGGGCGTAGTCAGGATGATGTTGATAGTATAAAGCTTCGCACACTATCACAGAAATTGTACGCGATTGCAAAAAGCTCTGCATGCTCTCGCCTTGCATTGACTAACTAAATGTCACTCACTTCCAGATTATTTAAACGTTTGGACTTCAGGGAACCGTCTTCACTCAGAACGCAAAGCTGCTTCTTCAAGAAGGCTTCGAACCTGCGGGACGAATTCATGGACCGATAAGGAGGACCACAACCAGTCGGTCTCGAAAGAAGGGCGCACTTCGTGTTTCAAGAAAGGAGGACGCTTGCGCAGGACAATTTTAAAATAATTCTGTAGTTTATATATAATATGACCCAACGTGAATTTGGGCATTTAGTAGTGGACTTTTTCTTATTAATCGTAACTAGAACATTTTGTCATTGTGCCCATTGTTTGTAAATATGATGGGAGATCTTAATTGATGGTTGTGTATGTGTCAATAAAGTGAAAATTCAGTTTAGGAATTTTACACAAATCTCTGGGTTCCTTGGTAGCCCGTAGGCTTTTTTTTTGCGAATGAATAAATCATACAGCAGTTGACAAGCTATACAACTACAGATGCATATTGTAAACACATACAATTTCACGTAGCTCAGTGGTATATTCTGATCTTTATGAGGTTATGACGTAATACATTTATATATAATGCTTACTCAAGTTGTTCTGTGATGGATATTCGATCAAGTTTGAAATAAACCGATATTACCGCTATAGTGATGAATTGGTGAAAGAAGGGGGAGTTCGTTTACATTGCAATACTTTCTTTTTCCTCCTACTCGTTTTCAGCGTCTCTCCATTACTTTGCGCACTCCATTATGACGAAGCGCAACTGCTACGGGATAGGCGTACACGCACGAGCGGCTACTGCGGATGGAGGCGTGCTTGTCCGCCGCATTAATTTCTGAGGTTTTTCACCTTGCATTGCTAAAAAATACTATGTACGGAGCTGTCATATACGTTTTCCAAACGACCTTTAAGGACTGTTGCAATGCAGACTCGCACTCGAGGAATGCATCTGCTCAGGGCAGGGCAGAGTTGACGTGAAAATTTGTCGCTGTTCGCTTTCCTTTACTGGACAGTGCCGCGTAAAGAAAGTGACTTAAGGCGCAATAAAATATCAAAACATTGACGACACGTTGACGTTGCGTCCAACACTGTACCTGAAAAAAAAAAAAGAATAATCCGGTTGTTTTTATGCGCATCTGTGTAAAAGGTATTTCAGCGTGGTAATCAGTGCTTTCACTTTTCCTCATGTGACTGTAATGGCGTTAAAGCTTGAAGGACAACAAATCTGCGAGCTGGGTAATTGAATCGTGACTCGGTTCACCTTGCGTCGTTTTGCTTATGTACACTATGTACTGCAATTAAGGGTGGTAGTTTAGCTTTAAGTACGTACTTAATGCGCATAGCTTTTTTTTCGCGAAAGCTTTGCGCCGTCTCGACGTGATCATGTCCATTATGCATTGATAACAATTTCTGCCATTCTTAGTGACCATATTAGTGACATGGCCCTCGCGAGTTTGAGGAAATGTTTCTTCGTGTTCTACCTTAGATTCCATGGCGCTTCATCCAGTGTCTGTATGTGATGGGTCTATAAATTCACTTAAGGAAACATTTGAACGCCATGTAATGATTGCGAATCAGTACCGCAGAATCCCGGCAGGACTCGCTTTCTGGATTTCGTGGCGGCCGGTTGTGCCCCCGCGATCTCCGACGACAGCGCAGCTCTGGCCGACTGGCTCGCCCTACGCCATCTCCTGCCGCCGACAAGAGCTCTCGCTGAGTGTTGCCCCGTCTTCGGACTCCTGCGAATGTGTCCATCTTTCCTATCTCATCTTTACTTCCGTCGTTTTCTGTCGTTTGCTGTCCCTGCGCCTCGATCTCTCCTTCCCCCTCTCTATCTCTCTACCTTTATTCCTATCCTTTAAATCTCTCCTTACCCCCATCCCTCGTGAGCTACTGTTGAAGTGTCACACTCTGATGCAGACAGTTACGGGGCTCACTTTTCTCTTCTTTTCTCTTCAAGAATCACATAAGAATCACCTAAGAATCCCGGTTGTTGGCGGAAGTTTTATAAAAGGGGAATTCATATTCACTTGTCTATAGCACAAAGTAACAACAAAATCCTTGCGCATTGTTGTGCAAGAATTGTTGTGTGTGCGAGAAAATCCTTACACATATGGTCGCATTTTTTCGGGAATTCAGCTTCTGAGTTTATGAAAAAATTCTCCTGGTTTGTGGCTTTGTGCCGCAAACGGGTGTTGGCAGATTTCTTTTTCTTAGTCCTTCCGCCGTTTGGTTGGGTGCAGCAGAACCGATAAGTAATGTCAAGTGAGCTTATGCTTCGAAATGTTGATGAATTCACCCTCGCACCGTCAATTGTTATAGAATCCTGATTAGCTTTATTGGTATATCCGCCTCGGTTGGTCAGTGGCCAGGCTGCTCGGCTGCTCAACCTAAAGTCACGGGTTTGATCCCGGCCATGGTGGTCACATTTTGAAAGAGACGAATCGGTAGGGACCCGTATACTGTGCGATTTTAGTGCACGGTAAAGAACACCAGGTGGTCAAAATTTCCTTGAGCCCTCCACTATGGCATACCTCCTAATCACATGGTGGTGCTGGGACGTAAAACTCCTCACTATAGCAGCTTTTTTGGTGGAACGACAGATTCGGGCACGTGTTCAATCACTGAAGACCAGGAACAATTCTTCAACTGTGTTCAATCACTGAAGACCAGGAACAATTCTTCAACTGGGTTCAATCACTGAAGACCAGGAACAATTCTTCAACTGTGTTCAATCATTAAAGACCAGAAACGATTCTTTAACTGTGTTCAATCACTGAAGACCAGGAGCAATTCTTCAACTGTGTACAATCACTGAAGACCAGGAACAATTCTTCAACTGTGTTCAATCATCGAAGACCAGGAGGAATTCTTCAACTGTGTTCAATCACTGAAGACGAGGAACAATTCTTCAACTGTGTTTAATCACTGAAGACCAGGAACAATTCTTCAACTGTGTTCAATCATTGAAGACCCGAAACGATTGTTTAACTGTGTTAAGTCACTGAAGACCAGGAGCAATTCTTCAACTATGTTCAATCATTGAAGACCAGTAACGATTCTTTAACTGTGTTCAATCACTGAAGACCAGGAAGAATTCTTCAACTGTGTTAAATCTCTGAAGATCAGGAGGAATTCTTCAACTGTGTTTAATCACTGAAGACCAGGAACAATTCTTCAACTTTGTTCAATCATTGAAGACCTGGAACAATTCTTCAACTGTGTTCAATCACTGAAGACCAGGAGGAATTCTTCAACTGTGTTCAATCTCTGAAGACCAGGAACAATTCTTCAACTGTGTTCAATCACTGAAGACCTGGAACAATTCTTCAACTGTGTTCAATCACTGAAGACCAGGAACAATTCTTCAACTGTGTTTAATCATTGAAGACCAGAAACGATTCTTTAACTGTGTTCAATCACTGAAGACCAGGAGCAATTCTTCAACTGTGTTCAATCACTGAAGACCAGGAACAATTCTTCAACTGTGTTCAATCACTGAAGACCAGGAAGAATTCTTCAACTGTTTTAAATCACTGAAGATCAGGAGGAATTCTTCAACTGTGTTTAATCACTGAAGACCAGGAACAATTCTTCAACTGTGTTCAATCATTGAAGACCAGAAACGATTCTTTAATTGTGTTAAGTCACTGAAGACCAGGAACAATTCTTCAATTGTGTTTAATCACTGAAGACCGTGAACAATTCTTCAACTGTGTTCAATCACTGAAGACCTGGAACAATTCTTCAACTGTGTTCAATCACTGAAGACCAGGAACAATTTATCAACTAAGGTCTCTCTCTGGGAAACCCGTATCGGCTTTATTGTAGCATTGTGCTACCTTCGGGTGGTTTCTTTTCTTTTGCGGTGTCTTTATGTGGCGTTAAGAGAGAGAGAGAGAATCCTCTCGCTTCATGCAGGCCTCGTCACCGTCACGTAGCGCAATCAGCTCATAAAACGTCGGTGAAAATACAAAGAAAAAATCACGACTGACGTATTTTGGGGAGGCCAATACAAAGGTCATTTTTTTTTTCGGCGTAGTTACGAGTTACATTCAACGACGGCAGCTGGTCTTATCCGGAAGGAGCACTTCCTCCGTATATATCTTCACGGCCACGGCGACGCCACACGCCTAGCATTTGTACCAGTGTGGTGCATTGACAAAAATACAAAAAAAAACGAAAACGGCACCAGCGCTGCCGTTAGCCATCTCGCTAAGGTAGTACGCAGGTACACTGCAGGGTATGACGCAGGAATCGCCGCACTCCTTAATCGTTCCCCCTGGCTTCCACGTTAACCTTGCAACCGCGCGCGCGAGCGAGTGATCCACCAAGGTCGACGCGGCCCGACGCCGCGCGCTATCGCCTCGACACCGCCTCGGGGTGCAGCGTGTACAGCACGCGCCAAGACGGGTAGTAAAGCCTCTGGGGGGGGGGGGGGGGGTTGGAAAAAGAGAAAGGTAGCTACAGGCGTGTCCATCCTAGCGGGCACTTAAGAGACGTAAGACGCCGGCCATCGCGCGCACCTTTCTCTTTATCTTTCTTTCAAAAAGGCGCGCATTTGTTTCCTGCTATTTGCTTGTTGCGAACGGTCGTCGCTCGTCGGTTGCTCTCACCGGGGAGAGGAAACCAGTTTCTTGGGGACAGCATCAACGTCATAGCATCGGCGTCCTCACTTTCGTTCTCTTCTATCGGTGGCCGAACCCCATCGCCCCCTTCCCTTCCCTCCTCAGGGGTAGTATCTTTCCTAGGCAAGGAAAGAAAAGTGTCATCCGAGTAATCAGACGCGGGACTGCGGCGGTGGTAGCTCCATCGCGGGCGTCACTAGCCCCTCTCTCTCACTCCGTTGCTTACACACCGAGCTAGTCGAGCGCACAGTTTCGCGCGCCGTCCATCGCGATCGCCGTCAGCGCACCTTCCGTGCTCCTGCGCTTCCCGCCATCGGCGCGAGAAGCTTGCGTGGCTACTCTGGTTATTGTGTTATCACCCACGCACGTTTAGCGCGGCGCTACGCTTTGATCTTGTCTTCGTCGTTCTGTTCTGCGTGTGGTTGAGAGAAAAAAAAAAGAAAACGCTGCTAACAGCGGTTGTCCGTGTCAGGCAGTGAAGTGAGGTGTTTGGCCAAGCGTCGATCGTCGTTTCGGGGGTAAGCGGGTATCGAGCACGTTTGCCTGAACGCTGTTTTCCTCTTCGAGCGGCTCGTCCAGACGGGAAGCAGCCGTTAAAGCGGAACGGTCATGGATAAGGAGCCCGTGCTCCTCACCATCCAGCCACTGGAGAATGGCAAGCTGGAAGCTGTCTACTGCAACAACTGGCTTCGAGAAGCCCGTCAACGTGTTACCCGAAAATGGCAAGAATTTTTTGGAGGCCCCCAAATGTGAGTTACCTTTAGAGAGCCCTCGCTCGCTCTTTCCTCCTTTTTCTGACTGTTCTTAAAGTGTGGTCGCAGCTTCCTGGGTGGGGCGCCTTGTAGCGATTTTTGGGGGTCACGTTACGTAAGCTAACGGTATAGAACGGAAACGAGTTTGGCAAATGAAGTCGATCTTGGTGGGGTTTACGTGTTTGATTGGATGACATATTCCACCTTACTGTGACGCCGGAAGAAACGTTTGATGCAGGGAAAGCGTGTTCTCTAATACGACCTGTGCATTTGTTGCTTATGGCACAGCAATGTAAAGCCGTCAACAAACATAACGCGAATGCTCCGCAGCGTGTCTTGAACCTTGGCAACAGCGCTTCTCTGCTGGCATCAGCCCCGCCGCGATGGTCTAGTGGCTAAGGTACTCGGCTGCTGACTCGCAGGTCGCGGGATCGAATCCCGACTGCGGCGGCTGCATTTCTGATGGGGGCGGAAATGCTGTAGGCGCGTGTGCTCAGATTTGGGTGCACGTCGAAGAACCACAGATGGTTGAAATCTCCGGAGCCCTCCACTACGGCGTCTGTCATAATCATACGCTGGTTTTAAGACGTTAAACCCTACATATCAATCAATCAATCAATCAATCAATCAATCAATCAATCTCTGCTGGTATCAGTCGCGGTAGTTCAGGTAACGCGTAGGAGCGTTCGTGTTGAGCTTGTTGACGACTGCAAAGTTTCGAGGTGTACGAGGGGTATGACGTCGAACACGTGTAACGTATTTCTGGCTCACCTTCAATGTGCGTAGCGACGACTTGTCGCTGCTATGTCACATGCTGTCATATGTCGATGCACTTCATCAAAGCCTACGCTTCGCGCGCCATCGAGCTAATGCTGTACAGCGGGCAGCATGGAGTTTGCCGAGGCACTTCTTCGCTCTGTCAGCTACTCGTCCTCTAACGAGAGTCGCACGGCTTGGGAGACCTTATCTCTTGAGTATTTAAATCAGCCGGGTGAAGATTGTCATTTAACCCCGAATAAGAAGGGGTATCGACTCTTGATATTTCGTATAAGCGCCCTTTTCAATAAAAATGTTGAGTGACATTATTTAGAAATATTTAGCACGAATGACGTCCAAGCTAGAATTTATGCACGGGCCTCTCCTGACGAAACTCCGGTTCGCCCCGTGACTTTTGCGAGATAGGCGAGAGAGGTCGAGAGCTCTCTGCTCATGCCGATCATCGTGTGGTTGCAGTGCTCGGTTACTAACCCGGAGGCTATGCGTTTGATCTCGTATATCGATAGTCGGTCGTATATCGATAGAGCCCGAATGCGAGAGGCCCGGGTAGTGTGCGATATCGGAAGACGTTAAAGAACACCAGATGGTCGAAATTTCCGAAGCCCGGTGCTATATGACGCCCCTCGTAATTATACGGGGCTTTTGGCGCGTAAAACCCCAGCTATCATTAGCACCCTTCGCAATTCGGTAACATCCCCGCAATATCAGAAGGCTGAATCCCAGAAGCGCGGCGCTTCGCATTCAAGCTTCTAAGGCTGTATACCCATCACTGATTACTAAGTAGGTGAACGTAGCCCGCCATGGAGAATTAGTGATTATACGGTGCTCGGCTGCTGCTGACTCGAAGGTCACGGTTCGATTTCGCACGTGGCAGGTGAATTTTGATGGAGGCGAAATGGCAGAGACACGTGCACTGTGCCATGTTGGTGCGTGGTGTTGGGGCATAGTAAAGAACAACAGCAGGTCGAAATTTACTGCAGCCCACCACTACAGCAATATAGCTTGGCTTTGGCACGATAAAAACCCCATATATTAACTGCGCGAACGTATAGCTCGGACATTACACCTGAATCGAGATATATGCGTGTTGGTGTTCCATAAACGTTTTAGTTTACGTCGGTATATAAAAAAATCACAGCATATCCACGGAGTAAATGATGACTGGTGGGGTGAAGCGTTCGTCAGTCCGTCCGTGCTTTCGTCCGCCCATTCGTTGTTGCTTCCGTCCGTGCGTGCGTCTGTCCCGTGTGTCCGTCCGTCCGTGTCAACTTCGGTGCATCCATCCTTCCGTGCATCCTTCCATCCGTACGTCTGTGCGTCCGTTCCTCTGTCTGTATATGCGTCAGTCAGTCCGTCCGTCTATATGTATGTCCGCCCGTCCGTATAGTGAAGACTCCAAGCACAGCTATCTCACATCTTATCATCATGTATTCATCATATACAAGTGCTGCCATCCAGCGGACATTCTAAGGACCACTCTTTCGGGCGTGTGCCACCGGTGGCCACATACACCATTAGAAAATGGACAAACCCACACCCTAAGGAGCTTCGCATCTGAAAGAAAGAACGTTTTGAAGTTTTGAAAATTGCGAGAAAAAAAAAAAAATCTAGATGGATGAAACATTCGATGTTGCATGGTCTTTAATTTCCCTTAATAATAGACAGTTTGACCAATCCCCCTTTGAGGGTATCAGCCAGCTTTCCTTATAAGCGACAAAACAAAACTTTCAGTGCCGCGCGTTTCTTCTGGAGGAAACAATCGAACGCCATGGTGCACTTGACGCTAGGATGCACCCAGCGAGACAAAATCAAAAGGGAGTATACAAAACACTAAGAAAGTCGGGAAAGAAAGCAGACAGCCAGCGAATCACGACAGAAGGTGCTCCTGACTGTTTCTTCGCTAGAGAACCCTGCGTCGCTTTTCCTCTAAACCAAGCCGATTTCTTCCGATATACGAAAGTGGCTGGCGGCGATGTACAGTGGGCCAAAACTTTAGCTACTGTGCGCAGCGGCCGCTTTTTTTTGTGCCTGTTATACCATATCATGGAACGAAGTTACAAAAATTGTTGCTTTGTGGACATGTGTTTTGGGGGGGTAGTACTCTTGTTTCTAATTCAACTGAGGATTAATTCAGTCGCAAGGCAAATATAAAAAAACTGCCACTCATAAACGTTAATTCAAGATGTGGCCGACTGTACATCTCTCCGATATTGATTTGTCTGTTTTTTTTTTCGTTTTTCGCCCTCAATCATATGCCCGAAAGATAACTAAAGTAGTTCTGTTGAAACTCACAGGCTACATGCGAATTCACAAATCACAAGACGCACGCCCAGTTGAATGCCACTTGCGAAGAAAACTAATATTCTGGGTCTTCAGAGAGGCAGTGTCTGCGTTAAAACGAAATTTCCTTTGGTCTGAACTTGAAAGTATACCGGTGCCACAAATGAATTAGGTTAGTTTTTTGGACAAACTTGGCTACACTATCGTGTACATCTATCTCCGTTCCAACGGGCCGCATGTTTCTGCCTTTCTGCTTTGTATGAACTACAGGCTGGCTTTTGACTGTGGCTGACGGACTTGCTCGTGAGGACTTGCCTACAATAATATCTCGTCAGCGGACTCGCAGAGGGGCCGGGGACAGAAAAAAACAGAAATAGACTCGACACCACACAACGCTCTAGTGTACCTTTTATTTTAGCGCGTGCTACATCCAAGCTAAAATGCAACAAGGTGCACATTACCACCCGCATCAACTTAACTTCACTCGCAAAGTCGACCAATATGTTGCTTCATCAACGTGGACGTCCAGCTAAGGAATAATTAATTCAGTAAACTTGGACGCCCAGTTAAGGTACAATTAATTCAGGAAACTTGGACGCGAAGCTCAAAGGTGTAATTAATTCAGTAAACTTGGCGCGCAGCTGAAAGGCGTAATTAATTCAGTAAACCTGGATGCCCAGCTAATAAGTAGAATTAATTCAGTAGTGGCATGTGGCTGCAGTCCCCGTTAAGATATAACACACAGACTGACGGCCATTCGTCTTCCATATTTCGCTGCACAAAGGAAAGAGAGAGAGTGCGCTGTTGCCCATTCCTATGTACCTATACCTATACATTGGTATTCTATGCGGCCGCTGGCATGTACAGCGTTTGAACGATGGTCGTGAAACTCACGGCTGCGATTTTTTCTTCGTTGTCGAAGATCAATGAAGATGCGACCGCCGTGAGGCATGTTGGCGTTCTTACAGCAAGAGCATGGCAAGCGACCAGAGGGAGCGTGTCGCGCTGTTCCAGCGTAAGGTCCCTACAGATAAAACAATTATCTAGGGAACTTATTGCGGCGCGGCGCCCGTCGATACCGAATAGCAACGTGCAGGCTTGGCGAGCTGGCCATGTTTGTCGGTTGGGGATTTACAAACAAACAAGGCTGCACCCGGATCGCCTTGACCGAATGCAACTTTGGCGTTGGCGTGTGCGGCGTTTTGTGCACGGGCTGGTCGGAATCTGTGTACTTGGATGCGAACGCTGCACACCCAGAAGTACTGCTGAAAAAAAAGAAAGAAAAAGGAAGGAAATTCCCAAAGCAAGAAGCAAAATCGCGCGTCGCTCTAATTGCAGGCATCGGCTCGGCGCGAGTGCGCGAAAGTGAAACGAATCGAAACGCGTGCGGACTGCTGATAAGCATGCATGCTCTGGCGTCGATTCCTGATAAGCACGTTCTCTGGCAGATTGCCGATAAGCTCGCACTCCCGCGCTGTTAATAGCGCGAAGTCGAAATGGATCGTCTCGCGGAAGTTTTCTTGCACTTGTGCCATTTTTGCTGCAGCCGCGGCAAGTAGGTTTTTGCAATTATTGTAAACAGCTGATTGGTAAAACTGCGTGCCTTCGAGCCAGGCTGCTAGACCGTTTGAGACGTTTGTTGTCCTTCAGGTCAAGAGAGGTAGCATATTAAGGTCGAGAGAGGTGGCATGTGACAAATATTTCCATACTGACTTCTCAAGATACAGTCGGGCCAGTGATACTTACTTACCGACTATTACATGTGTCTAGAAGACATTTTGTATCTTATCCCATGACGGCTGAAGCATTGTGTTGCTAACCTCGAACACGAGAAGTGTAAATTTATAGACTCATTTTTTTAGACAGAACATTAGTGAGATTTAATATACGAGGATGCCAAAAAAAATCTATAGCGGATGTTGTAAATGTGAAAGGAATGT